ATTACTGTCTGGGCACAAAGATGTGATCTGACCCATAGTTCTCAGTTTGTATTCAAATGAACACCACTGAGATAGGCGGGAGCCCAAATGAACAGAGAATTAAAATGAAATAAGAATTTCAAAATTTGAGCTTTGAGGAGGCAATTTTCTAAAGTTTCTTCTAATTTCCTTAAGTTTTATTTTTTGTTTGTACATATATGGATAGCCCAATCACCACGCTAAATTTCCCCCCTTTTCCCCCAGATGTTCTGCATGTCTTTGAACAGTCTCCTTTCTCAATAAATTGTATAGTACTTTTAACCCGTCAGTGACATCTGTGTCTCTAGCCTCCAATACAGTTAATCCATTTGTATAATAAACCTTTAGTACAACAGAACTAGAGCAGCACATGGTATTCCAAATGTGGCCTCACTTTTTTCATATATAGAGCTAGGATATTTCCTCTGACTTAAGTTCAGTAGCTCCATTTACATATGCATCATTTTGTATTGTTTTGTTTACCCGAATTGCTGTTAAGCACACGGCCAACTAGTTTTGAGTCTTATTTACCACCCCACACCTCCATCTCACATCCTTCACTGTCATGGACTTACTGTATTTTTTGGGTTCAGCATAATTCAAACATGGTTTTGTTTTTATGACTGCAAGCTTGCTGTGGTATGGATTAGATTATCACCGGAGCTGAGTGAACCAATTTGGATTAAATTAAGAGAACCATTCCTTGCCTTGTTTGAAGTTTGAAAATGTCAGCTTAATTTTTATTCACCTGCTGCTCACTTCCTGGTTTTGGTCAGGACTGGAATGCCACAATATTAGGAGAAATTGTGCTCCTTTGATATTTTCAGATGAAATGGAAAGAGGAAATTGGAGATGACAGATGGTCTTGTGGTTAAAGGAACTGAACACGGGCTTTTGAGATAAAGGTTTAATACCAGGTTGTGCCACAGGGTACCTTTATGATTCCAGTCAACTGACAGAAACAGAGAAATTGCCTAACTGGATCAAATCAGTGGTCCATCTAATCATTTTTCACCTCTCTGTATCTCCTTGTGTCAGCTTCAGAGAAAGATACAAAAGCCTCTAAAAAACAGCAAGTATATCATGGCTACAAGGGAAGTTCTTCCATTTCCCCCTTCACTCAGGCAGCACCTTATGCTCTGCAGTATTCTTTCCCCTTCTGCAACTCTTAGCTATTTTTAAATCCCAACATTTTTCTTATTTTCTTGACTGCTACTGAGCACTGCACAGAGATCTTCATTGAGCTGTCAAGGCTCTTTTCTCAGTTGTTACAGCTGTTTTCTCTTGTTCTGCCCCTGTGATCAATGGGGGCTTTCTTGACACTGTCGTCTTGTCTGGTCAATGCCCAGAACTGGATGCCTTATAATTTCCCAGAACTCAGCAACTGCATGACTCAGAGCATGTGGTTATAATTGTGGCACAGTCCTTTTTCTTTCTACACTAGTTACAGTGCTTGAGCACGAATGATGTGTTCAAATGCTGCCTGGGATTTGAAAGGAACACTCCAATACCATTCTTTTCTTCAAACAATAGGTACTTCTCTGATCGAGGTATTGTTCCCTAGCCTTTTAGACCACGGCCACTATTATACAGGTTGTTATAAATGAAGGGTTATCATAGTTCCCTAACAAGTCCTGGAAAAGTGTCTGGCTGCTACAAAACATAGGTGTTAGAGTACTCATACTCACATCAGCAGAGTTTTCTCCCTGATCATGTTCCCCAAACCTCTGCTGATAAACAAAGGAGGATCCTGCATGGAGAACAAGCAACCCATACTACTGTATTGTTTGTGGGTAGAATTTTGTCCGTCATAACAAGAAATCTCTGCTCATTATACAGTGCTCTGAAGAGTTCTGTTTTGTGTCACTTGAGTTTGCAGGCCCATGATTACCTGATCTGTGTTGGAGGACCACTGCCAAGAATGTAACTAAAAAGATATAAGTACGCATTCACTCTCACCAGTTTCTACCTGGACCACACTTGCTTCGATTACTTGGATAACAGTTTGTTGTTATTGCTCATGCTGAATAGCTTCTCGTGTAAGCATTATCGGTGAACTAAGGAATTTGGTGTTCTTCATTATCTCTTAAAATATATTACTGTAACTTCCATCTATCCTTTAAATCACTTTTAAATCCTTTTAAATCACTTTTAACCTACCTTTATACTGGAAATTATGGCTTAGGATTCTGTTCATGGTTTGTCATTGGTGAATTCCCTTGATTCATTAAAGGGTGTAGAAATGGAAGAAACAGCTCTAGGAAAAGCTATTCTCCTGCCCTAGTGTAAAGAGAAGACCTTATAGGAAACACTCTTAATGCTAGGAGGAGAAGAGGCAGAGCTGAATCAGTCATATTGAATCACTAGTGGTATATATCTGTTACGTTAGACTGGCTGTCTGAAGCATGGTCATATCCAGCTTGCATGACCAGACTCCCTTTCCATGTGGGGGGAAGGGTGTGTGTGTCAAACTCAATATCAAGATAGAAATTTATTGAGAAGTGCAAACATATCTGGAAACTCAGAACTGCTTTCAAATCCAGTAACAAAGGCATATCCAAAGAGCTCTTACACCAAGGCAGAGAAGACGAGGTGTATTTTGCCTGCTCTGTGTGCCAGTGAAACAGTATCAGGGAGTCACAACTAGCTTCATCCTGGCCATACACGGCTTGAAGGAGAGGACTGAAACCCTGTGTTGTGTTCTTCCCTGAATAGTGTCCACAAGTAGATACTTTCAAGTTTCCCAGAACTCAGTAACTCTATGACTCAGCTATTGTAATTGTGGCTGTCAAGCCTCTCCGTTTTTTTTTTTTTTTTTTTTTTTTTTTTTCTTCTTCCTGCACAGTCCTAGAGGCCAGCTGATCTGACCAAACAGTGTATGAAATCTGACAGGAACATTGAAATAATATGTTAAAAAATTGAGACACTCTCTTTGTCTTAGAAAAGCACATTGGGAACTAATACAATCTCAGCAGAAACTGTTGCCATCAGTAATATCTTGATACTGCAGCTATGTTGTGATGGTAAGCAAACACAAAAGTTACCTTGCTGTAGTTGCATGAGTAAAGGTGACCAGTCAGGTGCCATTTGGGTCATATACAAAAATCCCGGCTGCCACAGAGCAAGTGATGTGGCTGGTATCCAGCACAATGAAAGACAACAGCCAAAGGAAGGATGGTGGTGCATTCGAGGCTTTATGTCAGGAGTCCTGGCACACACCCAAGGCTTAAGGGTCTTGAGATCCAAATGAAGAAGAGAGACAGAGGTTCTTTTTTCAGTGCATACAAAAATTAGTCTTAGCACATTATCTACCATTTAGCGACCTGATATTTAACTCATGGTATATGTTCCATCTTCCTCATCTAGTTGGTTTCCTGCTCAGTAATTATTTATACCATTACAACTTTACCTCTTCTCTTTTTCAGATTCCTAAGGCCCTTGTTTTTCCCCATCCCTGTCACTGGAGCTGGTGAAGTATAAACTGCTGCAGGGCCTCCTTTCTCTGTCTAGGGGCCCTTTATGCATCTTATCTTTCAGGAGGAAGGGAAGATGATCAGAAGAGCTCTCTTTTGTTGCTCACAAAAGGGAAGAGGCCTGTGTCATGAGATGATACATTTGTTTCATTCTCCTCTTAGCCTTCCTTGTTGCTTCCTTCTTTGGAGAACAATATCAGTTCCCTAAAGGAAAGAGGGATGGAGGAAGCCTTTCTAGTTACTTTGAGCACCATCACTTTGAATGCTTTGCTGTTGGAGAGGGGGAAAGTACCTGAGGACCCGAGGCTGATGGTCAGACAAGGGCACCCACAAAAGTATGGCAAGAACACTGGTAACTGGGGAACTTTGGGAAGTTCTAGAGCAAAAGAACCTATCTTGGAGCAAAGTCCCATGCACATGCTGTCTGTTCCTTTTAGAAGCTAAAAATAATCCAGTGTGAAGACAGCTAACTAATCAGTACCACTGCCCATCAAATATCTCCAAAAAAAAGTAAACACCAGCTGTAGCTTAGTTAGAATCAACAACTCACAAAGGAGAAACTTTATCTCAGAGCTATATTTCTAATCAGGGACCTTTAAATCCTTTAAATTATTTTAAAATATTTTTATTTTATTTTATTTTAATTTTTTTTTGACATCAAAATGACTAAATAACTAACACAGTGGGAATAACTAACAGTGGGAAATAAATGAATACAATATGAAGAATAATCCAGTATTCTTCACTATTGAACTCGACAGTTCAAAGATAGGTAATCCTTTCACAGCTCCAAAATCTCTCCATATGCATAAAAGACTCCTAGAAAGGAGTACAAAGCAAAGATTTGGATACAGTTTATTTTTCAAACGAGGAACCCCTGAGACCAGGCAAGCCCCCAGGACCTACAAAATACCTTTCTTTTTCTTGTACTGTCTTCTTTGGCTATGAATGAATGAAAGAATGAACTTCTAATTCTTTTCTTTGACACAGAAGCTTAGGTCCTGCATCCCTAACCTTTCAGACTGCCACTTTGTATACCCTAAAACTGCTGTCTTCCCCCCCCCCACCCCCCCCCCCCATCTGTCTGTCTCAAATCATAAAGACTGACCTTGTTTATCTTGTACCTAGGAATATGGCTTATGGTCCTGTTGTGCTCTTTCTACCACTCTCCTTTTTCCTCATATGGCTTCTCTGACACTAGAAAACCCTTCCATCAAAAAGTCAACCAGATGGGTAGCTAACTATATGCTGGGGGAGAATGTGAAGATTCTGAAATTTCACATGTCTGAATGAGTTAAAAGAACTATCAGATCCTTCTGCCTTGTATCAGAATACTGAAGCAGATGCTGAAATGTTAGTAATTGAACAGCTTTTTAAAGACAGAGGAAAAAAAAATCAGTGGAATGAGTTAATTAGATAATGAAGGGGATAGATTTAGTAATTAATTCAGGTTACATGAAGATTTTGAGAATACTATGCAGAAAACTCATTGAGAAAGGTCCATCAGGGGTTTGAATGTTCTCCCCCTCCTTCTCCTGGCATTTCTATCTCCTTAATGTGACATCGTTTCTGAAAAATGCTCCCAAAAATTTTGATAGAACTCAATATGTAGTCAACAGTGAATACAGAGATTTTTCTTGCTTCTGAACAAATGTTTAAGCCATTTGCTTTGGCAAGAAGGGTGAAAGATCTTGTATTAGATATGTGCAGAATAAACTTTTTGATAAGAATTCTGCTGTGGGGATCAGTAACAGAAAAGAGGACATACTCGTGTTGCAAATGAGAGAGATTTACAAACCCTGCATATACACATTACAGAAAATGATGTGGGTTTTAATCTCATGTGACATGGACGTTTTCCTGTTGATCTGCTGTCATATAGCATCCATTTTATCTTCCACAGAATGGCCTGGATTGCCTGTAATCTGGAGTCACACTTTTCTTTGATTGGATTTGGATTCTGAATGTTTGTCAACTGCCACTCTCATACAGGACAAATTTCCCAGGATGTAATAACACATGGTCTCTGGAGACACAGTCCAACTTAGCAGGTCCATAAATGCATATGGCAGCTACCACTGCATTAGTGGGGCAGGGCTGAATAGGTTGGAAGTTCACCCATTCAGAGGTTGCTAGAAATCACAAAGATACTCCGTGAGACAAGCTTACTATGTCAGCCCCAAACATTAGAGCTTAAATCCTCAAAATGTTTTAGACAGGATTTAGATGTTTTAGGGACTCCTTAGGCATCCGCGTAAGTATATGCTCTGTCTTTAAAAGGTCCTGAAATTTTCAGATGTCCATGCTTTCATTAGGTCAGTCCAAGAACATGCTAAAAACCGCGTTATTTCTGTCTGAGCAGCACTGAAGATGCAGGTAGGTACCTTATTCTGGGCTTTGATTAGGCTTCAGGTATTTGTGCTTATTTCAAATGTGATGCTTAGTATTGTCAAAACAGGCATGTTGGAGCGGAGTCTAGACAGAGAAAGCTACAAAAAATTAGAGCTGCTAGCTGCCTCTGCAGATCAGGGCAAGGACACTCAGTCAGAGCACCTGATGCTCCTTCAGTTCTTCTTCATGAGCTCAGTTCTTCATCTGTTCTTGTGCCTCTCAGAGATGTCCCCTCATTAGGAAATTATGAAATATTCTGCAGTACTCTGTCACACCTATTTAAAGGATATTTAAGCATTAATTGGGCTAAAAAAAGAATGATCACAGAATTGCCGAGGTTGGAAGGGACCTCTTTTGGAAGGGACCTCTTAAGATCATCTAGCCCAACCCCTGCTCAAGCAGGGTCGCCTAGAGCATATTACACAGGATCATATCTAGTCGGGTTTTGAATATCTCTGGAGAAGGAGACTCCACAACCTCTGTGGACAGCCTGTTGAAGTGCTCTGTCAGCTGAACTGTAAAGTAGTTCTTCCTCACATGGCGATGAAACCTCCTGTGGTTCTGTTTATACCCATTACCCCTTGTTCTATCACTGGCAAACACTGAGAAGAGTTTCTTTTACTTTACATTGTCCCCTCAGGTACTTGTAAAGGCTGATAAGATCCCCTCTCAATCTCCTCTTCCCTAGGCTAAACAGGAACAGCTTGCTTAGTCTTTCCTTATAGGACAGATGCTCCAATTCCTGAATCATCTTCTTGATACTATATACTACTACTGATCAGTAGCTGGAATATTCACGTAGGTGGGAACTGCAAATGTCTCTTCAACTCATGTGAGTGACTTAACCAGCAGAAAAGAGAGTTTAAAATTTTATTTTTATTTTGTAGAATTAAGCTATTCAAAGAAAAATGAACTAACTTTACTTTTGTAAAAGTAAATCAGTGAATCCATAAGTTCAGAAGGAAAACAATAATCTGACATGTTTAGACTCCTGAGTGGTATCTAAGTACCAACCCAAGCAAAAAGGACCAGGGGCAGTACTGCCATCAAATTATTTGGTGAAAAGAGCACTGGCTTCAGACACGTTTCTGGATTATCTGTCCTTTTACTAGCAGCGTGTATCACCTTGTAACACAGGTATTGATCTTGTATTCCCCAAAACAGCACAGATGAGTTTTAAAACACAGATCTGTTCAACTGGCAAGCCTAAGCAGCTCCCCAGTCAGTATGCTTACTTTGTATGTCTCATATGCAGTTGCCTACTTCATTCTACAAAAGTTATGTTACCTTTGTCATTACTTTCAGAGTTTAATTAATTAAGGTAGAGAATGTACTACACAAATGAGAGAGAAATGTTTCAAAACAGTAAGGTATAAAATATGTTTCATTACACAAGCCCTGCACAGAGGTACATTTTAAAAAGTTGAGCACTGACCCTGGATTCACTTATAGACACATACATGTGTCTATACATACATTTGACACATACATGTTCAGTCATGTAAAACCTGCTGATGTAATTTAAACAAGAATCAACATTGTATTAAATTGAATGTGAATGCCAGTATATTTGAACTAATTTTATACCATTGTATAAGTTGGAGTCATTTGCATTTGTCAGCTATCATAAAGTACTGTTGAAGGTTACCTCCATTTAAAGTATGTACCATACACTCAAATATTCTATTTGTACAGAAACAACTGGTTAAGAAACAAAGTATATCTTGCGTGATAAATCAGTTCTTCAAAATCACATTCTTTTGTATGAATCTCAAAGCAGGAGCTTTAAAATTCAGATCCCACATGGATGCCAAGAAACCAAAGAAAGCCATTCTTCATAGGATTTCACTGTGATAATGACCACAACAGTGGCAGCAAAACTATTACAGATGAGCTGCACTGAATGTGATATGAGTTAAATATCTAAAGTACAATTCATCAACAATGCATAAATAAATAGGAAAAGACAAAGAGAGGAGCAAAAAAATATATATACTTCATTCTAGCAATACATTTAGTAACTTTCCATAACCTATTTCATTTTTTCCAGTGATTTTTAGAGCCAAATATTCAAGACTTAGTTGAAACTGAAGATAATGTTAACACTTTGTCAAGCATTTGAATCACTTCCAGCATATTGTAGTATAATCCGCTGTCCACAAACATCCCCTTCATTATTGCCTAATTACATGCAAATTTCATAAAATGAATGAGTTTTAAGTACTTGTCAATCTGTCATCCTAGGAACCACTGAAACATTTTGACTGCTAGATAAATAATCAGCAATAATCACACTATGCAAATTTGATATTTTCTGTACAATTATCTGAAACCATAAATAACTGGACACAAAGACATTTGGCATTCTCTCAGAAAGACTTGACCTACAGGCTTTTTTATTCCCAACAAACATGCCAGCAGAATTTTTAAAATTCTGCCTAGCTAAACATGACCAGTAGAAAAAAAATAAATAAGCATTTAGTGTATTAATATTTTATTTCAACCTGGGCAAGGTTTCTTTTTCTGCTTTATTAAAAAAAAAAAAAGATTATCAGCATTTTTTTTTATTATTATTTCTACTTCCTACCACATTCTTGTTTCTTTTATTCTTTGCTTTTCATCTGTAATTATCAAGCTGTATTTTTTCTTCCCCCCTTCTTTTTTTTTTTTTTCTTTCCTCAAATAATCAGGGAATGAGGTGGGAGAGGTTGTTGCTTTTTAATATTCCTCCTCCCCCCATACACATTGTAGATCTTCTATAGTGTTTCCTACCATGATTCATTCTGACATTTCTAATGCACTGCAGGCACTTCAGCAGAACCAATACCAGGAGGCTAATTATCAGGATTACAGACAAGCTCAGAAATATATAAACAGTCTATGCAGGTGAATTTGTGGATTTCACAACTACCTTTATTTTCTGTTTGCTCTGTAGGGTTGCATATGTGTGTCTGTGCACATACATGTGTGCATACATCTTTCTGTGAGTATTTTGTGAGTGTGTTTTGCATCCTTAACTGTTGGCTCAGAATCTGATGTTTTTCTATAAACAGTAATAAAGCTCTTGAAAACATAAACAAGTAGGAATGTGTTTTTTTTATTTTTTATTTTTTCCAACTTCATGCTTACTCAAAGACAGATATTTCCCTAACATTAACCAATGAAATAGCACAAAGGATAGATAGTATTTAAAAAGGTAGACAGATAGATAAATAGCATGAAATCTATTTCAAAAGCTTATTTCTTTTTTGTTAATTTATATATGAATACATATTAATTATAGCTGCACCATAATGGTTTCATTTTGTGTAAGTATTCTTGGGCCTGATCCAACTGCCATTGAAGTGTCAGGAATCTTCATCTTGATATTAAGAGAGTTATTATACAGGACTTAATGTCAGTTATCTTTCTGTACTTGAGACTTTCCACAGCTAAAACAATTCTTTATATGGAATAATTTGGTTGATGAATTTCACCAGTTTTCAGATATTGAACTGTCCTTGGATAACTAGCACAGGAACAAAACAAAACAAATTCAAATTCTAAGTTTAAATGCCATATACCTGTCAAAACTGATCTTGAAATTATATAATTAAAAAACTAAACGGTAACAGGAATATGTGACTTTCCCTTTCCTTCCTTTCTTTTCCTTTCCCATGAAACTCACACTGTTTTTGATCACTGAATGTTCATGCTACACTACATACCAGCAGACCCATTGCTTTATAAGAAAAACTATGAAAAATTAAAGTCATCAGTACATTCAATGAATCACATGTTTCTACTGAAATATGAGAATGATTTTAAATAAAGAGAAAATTATTGGGATTGCAGGTTTTTTTTTTTTTATTTGACCATTTGTGATGTGGGAAAAAAAAAGTTATGAAATTCATCAGAAAAAATATACTTTTTGAACTATTTACTTTCCTACAGAGAACACTGTTAAAGTGTTAACAGGTCAATGGCTTTTTTTCCAATATCTGTCCATATCTTTAAACAGTGTCTTTTCATGTATTTGTTCCTCACAAGTGAGAAATTAAGAGGAAAAGTATCTGAATATAACAGAATCAGAATCCTTTCCCCCCGCCCCCCCCCCCCCAGTCTGATTAGCTATAAAGAAATGAACAGATAATGACAATCTTTATTTATACTCCACACCAAGCTCTGGCAAATACGTGATGGCTATGTAAGGTAAAGTCTGATGCACTTTCAATATACTTACAGGTTCAAAATCATCTCACTGAAGCCCTTTTTCTTATCAGGAATCTTAATGGAATTACTTTCTATCATCTTAGCTACTCAGTATTCAAACATTTGAATTCAACAGAGGCATGTTGAAATGTGCATTTGCAAATTGTTTCAAGACTTGCAAGAAGCAGCAACAAGCCCAGCCAATAAATGTGTACCTGCTGGATAAGAAAAAATGAAATGTGTGTCAGGCCGTCCTTTCCCCAAACCTGACAACATAAGTAGGAACCACAATAATATTTGCATGGTGATTACTTAAAGACTGTACAAGCCAGAGTGTTCTGTACAGCAACATTTAAATTGTGATTGTTCTGGAATCTCAAATGGCAAAAAATATTAGGATGCTGGATCCAAAATATTTTTGTGAGTAAAGTCTCTTGTGCTTTGCATGCATTCCATTTCCTCATTTCTGTGTAAGAATCTACTTTACATATTCTGAATGTTTAAAACAAAGATGATTATTTCAAAAGTAGGTTATAGAGTGCTGAAGTTATTGTCATTTGCTGAGTAGAAGGATGGCATTACCTGAAAAAACAGGGGAAAATATACACAGGTAAGGACAAGTGAGCCAAAAAAGACATACAAGTTATTTTTCATAATACAAAAATTCCAGGAAAGGACTTTCTTCTTTAAACGCTTTCACTGAGAGTTTTATTCTTTTTGATGAAGACAGAGGTTTATTTTGGGTGTAGAGAAATGTTATGAAATGCTATTCAATGTCAAGTAAGTGCCAATTCTTATCTGGAGCAATGACTCCCATTGATGATGTAACAAAACCAATACATTAAAAATGTACCTGCTTTAATTTGCTGTCATGTAATCAATCAAAAGTTATGTGCAAAATTGATGAGAAGTTATTTATATAGCAGTATAGAACTTAAGCTATGCCAAAGTTACACACACACTTCACAGGAGTGATGTGGAAAAAAAAAAAAATAAAAATCCTTGACACTTACAGTAGTGATTGTAAATGGTAACTTACAATATTGTATTCAGGAATATGGTCTGGATGGAAAATAGGAACCTA